CCGCACATATTCTCTATTTTCTGTCTTATTTGTGCCTGAAGCGCTCTGCTGCTGCGCAGCTCATCACCTGTGCTGCGCGGTGCTGCGGTGATTTCACCTCACTGACGCAGCATCGAAAGGCGCACTCCGCTTTGCGGTCAGGAGATCCATTTGATCTGCTCAAAAGTAACTGATGAGGTGAAAAAGTAAGAATCCTGGCAGCAGTTTTTTCTGGAGAGTTTAGAGGAGACGCAGGAAGATGAGGGACAGACAGGACAGGAAAATAGTTAAATAAAAACAAGAAAACAAAACTAAGTGTGGAAAAGTAAAATGTAGGTAGATTTATCTCCACTACGTGTTTCTACCTGTATAAAACAATAAGTTATACACATGTAATATTTATACATCTGACACAATTCAAATCACCTTCAAAACTCAGTCAAACACCCAGGGCCGTTTCAAGACATTTTGGGGGCCAAGGCAAAATGACCCCCCCCCCCCACCCCCACCCCATAACTGGGCTCCCCAGAAGCCTCTGTGTAATTCACACCCTCTCCAGGAGCATTAGTTATACAGTGTTTATAAAAGCTCCTCAGACATTACTGACATGTTCTAATATTATCAGATGAAAAACTAAATTATCAGACATGCTGTCTCATCTGCTTCTTTTATAAACTTGCAAAAAGTAACAAAACCATCTGAAAGCCACTATTTGTGGATTCTCTGAAAGTTTCCATGGAGTGTGGGACAACTTATTTTTTCATTGATCCTATCGTCTAATCTCACAGCTGAAACAAGCACCCTTAATAATCTGTGCACAGGAAGCTTACCAATGCTGAAGTAAAACAAACGGTATAATAATTTATTATTATTAAAACCTTGTTGCAGCACTAAAGCAGAAAAATTAGATTTTCCAATACATATGCTAAATATTTAAATATGAATTGTTTTAGAGCCCTTTTATTGGCAGAATCTGATATTAATTTAGTTCTTACAAAAAAATGGGTCCCAGCGTGGTTTGTGTGGCGTTGCCATAGTGTGACTTCATAGGCACAGATCCCCTGTCCTCTTGTTTGGAAATGGAAATGTGATCACCCTATATTCAACAAACTGTCCACCCGGGCTTTTGCGCTGCAGCAGGAGACGCTTCGCTGCCTATGACTGAACGTCAGTTGAGAGTCAGTCTCATGCAGACTGACCAATGAAGAGAGGGCCTCAAGTTAAGACCCTCTCCTCATTGGTCAGTCCACACAAGGTGGGTCAAAGGTTACCCTGAGCGGGTTACGTGATGGTAGGCATTCAAGTATTGAGTATTTTTACTGCATATTACAGTAATATATCCTGTATGTGACCATATTATGGTGATCCTTGGGTCGTGATGATGGGGCCCTTGAATATTGTTGCCCAGGGTACAACGAAGTCTTAATCTGGCCCTGGATGCAGCTAAATGTGCAAAAATGAGCACCTTTTTTTTCTCAAACAAGCTCGCGGTCTTTAACTTCAAATGAAGATAAAACGGGTAAGGCAAGTCAAGATGTTAAACTTTACCGGCTGCAAATCACCATTCAAGTTAATTAAGCATCAATAATGAATTATATGGCATCATGACATAACGTTGTGTAATATAATTTACAGTATGATGTGACTGATGCCACCAAACTGTCTTGTCAGAGTCAAACACAAGATCCAGTAGGCCTAATAAGCACCAGGCAGAAACCCACAATTCCAGAGCGGGCATGTACAGGTAGGATTACTCATTGAGTCAGTGAACTGAATATTATTAAAATTTATATGATGAAAACTATCCTGGCTCTATAATAGATGATTCAGCATTGATCAGAAAGCGTGTAAAAAAGGAAAATGAATGCTGAATTGTGACCATTTTCACACAATGTAGTGTCAGAAGAAGAGCCAGGAGCCAGCAGTGAGGGTATTGCTCCTGTTGGGATAGAAGGTGAGCCAACTCATGCACAAACATCAGTTTCATTATAATAATTTTAATTTCCAAATAATAGTAGTGACCTGATGTATTTCTGTTAGTAAATGCACAAAGCCCACAACAGATCGTTATTAGAATGAAAGTAAAATGAAATAAGCCTGCATATTTTGCCATAGAAAATATTTTAATTGGTTACAAAGATGTGTTTTCCATATCAAATGTGCTAAAGCTTTACAGATGATTATTTTAATTGTGTGCAGGTGAGTCTAGGGAAACTGGAAAAAGTGTGAAAGGGAGTGCTGAGTCATTTCATTTTAAAGGTTGGAAAATCTCAGAACAGCTGTTTGAACAGAATGTAGATTGTCATATTGTTAGAGAATGTGTTGTAAAGAACAATGTTGGAGATGTGCACTGATGTTCAAATAAACCTACATTGTAAAGCAACTCTTTCTTGCTTTACAAGAAAGAGTTGCTCTTTCTTGTAAAGCAACTCAACTCTTTCAACTCTTTCTTGCTTTACAATTACAAGGCTTTACCGAGTAGTGTGCTTTTGTAGACTATACATATAAAGTTCTAACATGATTTTAATAATAATTCGTTAAGTGGGCCGGTCTGGGGTCTGAAACTCCAGGGCTGAAAATGTGTCCCACTCCGGCCCTGGGTTAAGGTGTTAAAAAGACGAAAGTATAGCGAGGAGATACGTTTTGCTTTTGGTGCTACATGAGGGGGTGCTAAAAGCAAGCAAAATTGCCCAGTTTCTCCTTAAATTTGAGCCCAATTTTAGACTTGTGTATACTTTTTTCATCATTTTTAAAATATTGTATGAATTACACAGTCTAAGTTAAATTAGTAAATAAGCTGAATTTGATTGAAATAAAAAAGTTATTTTAACCAAAGTTTTTTTGGTGTAAGGCACCTGACTTTTAACATTGATAACTTTAAACCAATTTTTGAGTAGAGCACTTTAGCCAACATATTAAACCATCAATCAAACCAGGTTGGCCAAAACAGACACGTGGTTGAATTGATAAAAATATGTACATTTACAAGTTTTAGCACAAAGGTACATGTTAAAGTAAATCCATTTCCAATAAAAACATAACTTTATATAAACATTTTAGCTGCATTTATTTTATGTTTGCAAGGAAAAAAGGCCAGAAATTGTAAATGTATATAGTTCATTGAGTTTGTTTGTTGGTTGTTCCTTACACAAGAATGAAAACCAGAGGTCAACAATCCTTTCCCATTTCTCTGCAGTCAGCTTACTTTAAAGGCTGACCTTTAAAAAACTGTTAAAACTAGGGATGCTGCAATCTGATCATGTGATTGGAAATCAGGCCCAATCGCATGATTTTTAAAAGCTCAGAATCAGGTGAAAAGATCTGATTTAACTTTTTAAAACAACATATATGATTTCTTCAATTCATCCTGACAAAGATTTTCAAATGGAAAAACAGTGGCTTACTTTTAATTTCTGTTTCATCCCCATTTATAATATTAAAACGTTTTGAATCAATGCACTTCCTAAACAAGCAAAAGTGAAACTTATTTTAATGCTTTACTGGAAAGTATCGGATCAGTACACGGTACCGACGGATACTCAAGATCAAATGACTCACAGTCGGATCGGAAATATAAAACATGATCGGAACATCTCTTGTTAAAACTCATCTTTTTAAACTTTTTTATACATGATCATTGAGTTTTCTATTTGCTTGATTTTTTTTTTTGTTATCGTGACATCTTTGTGCAGCACCATGTGACCCATGAATTGACGGGTGCTATACAGGTAAAGGTTTACTTTAAGGATAAGAAGACAACAGCACTACAATGTTTACTAATATAAAAATTAAAGAAATATGTTTATCAGTAAACCATGATGTAAGTATGTTTATAATTGTTTCAGTGCAATAGTGCCACATAGAGAAAGGAAAAATAAACAACACCTCTCTGACATCTATGTTTGCAATCTATTTAATACGAGGCAGGGGGCTTAGGTTCAAAGCTTTATTCTTTAGAAACAAGTCTTTCATCTGGATAGAAAGACTGAAAATGAAAACAAGATCAATAAAAATAAAACCCATGAACAAAGACATTTCATTTCTTTGCCTTTAATCTTTGTTTCATCAAGAATGAACTAACTTTTCCCCTTGAATCTTAAGCAGCACTAGAAAGCCAAAGACAGCAGCCAAGTTCAGCTGTGTTTGCATGTGGGCCGAATTAAATATATATGCATCCACATTCTTTCTCTAGCGCTGACCCTCTCTTGGCCGTCTCACATGTGGACACAAGAATGCACATATTTTTCTGTGTTCAGACACAAGCATGAAGGGCAGCGCAGCGTCTGTCCGAGCTGATCGGAGCCGCAATAAAAGTTGCATTCAAACACAAAAATAACTGAGAATGGAGCCCGTCCGTCCCATTCAAAGCCAAAACATGACGTAACCCCAATGTGTCAACACGCTTTGTTTGTTTGGTACATACGAAATATTAATTTCATGCATCTATCAAGAGGTTAGCCAATGTGTCAGAGCATGACAGTTTGCACATCTGTGTGTTATACATGTAAAATTATTGGACAAGTGCAAACACACAGAGCGGCACATTACGTCCAGCTGACAACATCTGGAAACAGTTTGGTCTAATTAAGAGTTCAGATTGCAGAACAGATCAAACCATTCTCCAAAGTTCTCTTCAGTCCTTCCTCATGAATCCACTATTAATCACTTCTGTCTCTGGTGAATGCCTCTCCTGTCTCATTCATAGTCTATAAATAAGTCACTCCCTCGTGCTAATGAGGACTCTCCCACTTCTACTTGGACTTAATGAAGTTTTCCCACAATTGTTTTTATTTTCTCAACACAAAAGTTTAAATGTATCGCTGTTAATTGTGATGATTTTTTACATAAATAATCCACATAAGGAAGTGATCTAAAACACACAATCTTCCATCAGACTGCTTCACTCTTTGCTCAAGAGAGATTTCACTAAAAGGCGGAGAACATTACATATTCAATCCAGTCTAGAACTTTTTTTCTTATTGGTCTCGTCCAGCTAGGGAATTACTCAGATGGGATCTGGACTCTGGGAGGAAAGAAAAGATTGGAAGAGAAATGGTAAAAGGGAGGGAAAAACGAATTTCAGACTCATAAATGCCCAAGCATGAAACTCCTAAATGGGAAAGTAAGAGGAGATAAGAAATGTGTGTGTGTGTGTGTGTGTGTGTGTGTGTGTGTGTGTGTGTGTGTGTGTGTGTGTGTGTGTGTGTGTGTTTTCTGAGTGCCTACTGGGATATTTATCTCCATCCTGGCCAACCATGGTGGTTCCTGTTTGTCGTATCAGCATCATTATCAACATGCTTGTTGCTACTAAAGCGTTTGCTGCTTTGTTTCACTCAAATGTGACTAAATGTTCTGTGCTGCATAAGCACCGATAAGCACACACACACACACACACACACACACACACACACACACACACACAGAGAGAGAGAGAGAGAGAGAGAGGGAGAGAGAGAGAGAGAGAGAGAGAGAGAGAACTGTGGGAGAAATCCAGCAAAGACTGTAGATCTGAAAGCCTCCTGCTAACTGAAGCTTGTGAACTTTCACACGGTTCTCAGAGAACTTTGGCATATTGGCACATGGAGTTACTGCTCTGTGGCATTGGGTTGTAACGCAGCACTTCCTCTCTTGAAGTTTCTACACCTCGTCTATTGTGCTGTAAAAATCCATCTTGACATCTACAGAGAAACTTTCCCCCAGCATGCTCCAGCTGTAGAACAATAACGCAGACCAAACTGAGGCCCTGTCCACACGTAGCCGGGGATCTGCCAAAACGTAGATATTTTTCTACGTTTTGGCCTGTCATCCACACGAAAACGGATTTTTTTTCACACGAAAACGGATCTTTTTAAAAACTCCGGCCAAAGTGAAGATCTGCGTTTTCTCCGTTTTGGGTGTCTGCGTGTGGACAGACAAAACCGGAGTTTTAAGGTCGGCAACGTCACTTTCCGCAACAAAAAAAAATGCTGACATCACGTGTGCGACCTGTGTTTACACTAGCCAACAGCATGGAAGCCCTCAGAGCTCTGCTCTGTCACTACCCGATCCATCAATTGTCCAAGCGCTTTCTGCTTGTTTGTTTTTGCAAGCGGAATTACTGCTCCTTGCGGAAGACCACAGACGAAGGACGAGGTTAAGAATGGGGGAAGTACTGCCGCCTACAGGTCTGGCATGTCCTTTACAACATATTTATCCGGGTACGTGTGGACAGAGTTTGTTTTTAAAACACGGTGGTGTGGATGCAAGTTTTTGGAGGGGCGGATATTCGTTTTTAAATAAACCCGGCTACGTGTGGACTAGGCCTCAGTGCAGACACCGCTGAATGGCTTCAGACTCAGTCAACAACAGCCACTCAAGAAACATTTTATGTATTTGAATAGGAAGAAAGTGGGGTGAGGGGGGAATGCTACTGTCATCATCTACAAGTGAGGTGAAATGGTTTGGATCTCTCAGGTTTCATAGTGGTACTTTGCTTAAATTGAGTATGTATTGTTTATTTTGTTTGTTCATTCATTCATGAGTTTGTTGTCTATTCCATGTTTGCCATGACATTTAACCTTATCTCCCAATCTCCACCTCATCTGTGAAGAGAGTTTCAGCTTGTTTAGTCAAGTCCAGCAGTCTTTGGACCGTCTCCTACGTAGATCCAGGTGTGGGATGGGAATATCACAGTGCAGAGATTGCTTAGAAAAGGCAGCAGGCATGTGTGAGTGTGCTCATAGAGTTGAGAGAAGACTTTTGGAGGGTGCCTGGTGTTAAAAAAGGCAGCAAAGAAGCCACTTCTCTCAAAGAAAACAAATCTGCTATGAAGCTAAAAGTCCCGGAATTTGTACTGCTCAGGTTCTGCCATGAGTAAAGAACCCATGGGGTCACATAGATGGGTTTGCTCCTGAACCAAGGGAGTGGACTTGCTCAAAGTTTAGCCTCAGAACAGCATGAATGAGTAAAGGTACCTAAATGTCCTCTGAGAGGGCCTCCTCCCAACCCTCCAATAACAACTTGGTGATGAACAATGTCTTTTCCAGTGTGATGGAGCATCATGTCCTAACGCTTGTGTGGCTCAAGGAACAGAACGTTAACTTTTTTGGGTCCTAGACCTTAATTCCACTGAATGAGGCAGAAACCCCCCTGAACAAACTGCGAACACTGATTATGAAGGAGCTGGATGTCATCAGTCAGGATATGGGCCAGTATGTCAGGATGAGTCGTGGAGGTCTTGGGGAAGAAGGTCCAACACTAAAAATATGCTTTCATACAATTGATACCATCTAAAGGCTTTTGAAACTCATGAACTGTTTTTAAATCTACTCTAGTATAATATAGAGTGAAACATTTTATCTGAGAACAGTTTGCAGAGCTCAGAGTAACAAACTTTTCTGTTTAAAATCGGCAAGATAAAAAAAACTGTTAATTTTTGTCTCAACTCGGTTCCTATTTTCTCCTTTGTTCTGGCTGAAAGGGTTTGATGCGTGCC